CATAGACTACAGACCAGCATGTTTTTCTATACTCAGTATATCGGTAGGCCTTACAGTAATAGCCTGTGTCCACAGCTAGCATGTTTACTCCTCACTATATGTGTTCAAACATGTGCAGTTTAAGTAATCTGTCAATACTCTTCATTTTACGCTACAGTTGAACCTAGCCTGTATGATAATGTTTAATTAATATATTTCTAAAAAATGGCAGTCTTTCTTAGGAGTGTACGCAAAGCACGATGAAACCCTATACTTTGTATTATCTTGCAACAACTCCTTTCTCTCTTCTGTACCCCATGCTTCAAATGCCATAATAAACAAAAGATTGACAAAAAAAATGTATGACCTAGAACAATAGAATCATTTAAGAATATTTACAAGAATTAAGGAAGAATACTTAACTTATCCTGTGAGCAGATGTGCTGTGCAGGAAACTGCCCTATTACTTTACTCCAGACCGAGGCTGACTGGAGCTTCCTAGCATAAAGTGTGGACCTCGATGATGCGTATTAATCAGTGATGTATTTTTCCTTACCTCTTGTAAATATTCTTTAATTATACTATTAAGGGGTGATGATTTGGGTTTGTTTTGCAGCCACAGCCCCTGGGAACATTGCAGACATTGAGTCGACCATGAACTCCTCTATATACCAAATTATTCTAGAGTCAAACGTGAGGCCACCTGTCTGACAGCTAAAGCTTTGCTGACAGTGGGTCATGCAACAGGACAATTATCCACAGTACACCAGCAAATCTACAGCAGAATGGCTAAAAAGGAAAAGAATCAAGGTGTTGCAATGGCCTATTAAGAGAGCTGTGTACAGGGAGTGCAGAATTATTAGGCAAGTTGTATTTTTGAGGATTAATTTTATTATTGAACAACAACCATGTTCTCAATGAACCCAAAAAACTCATTAATATCAAAGCTGAATATTTTTGGAAGTAGTTTTTAGTTTGTTTTTAGTTATAGCTATGTTAGGGGGATATCTGTTTGTGCAGGTGACTATTACTGTGCATAATTATTAGGCAACTTAACAAAAAACAAATATATACCCATTTCAATTATTTATTATTACCAGTGAAACCAATATAACATCTCAACATTCACAAATATACATTTCTGACATTCAAAAAAAAACAAAAACAAATCAGTGACCAATATAGCCACCTTTCTTTGCAAGGACACTCAAAAGCCTGCCATCCATGGATTCTGTCAGTGTTTTGATCTGTTCACCATCAACATTGCGTGCAGCAGCAACCACAGCCTCCCAGACACTGTTCAGAGAGGTGTACTGTTTTCCCTCCTTGTAAATCTCACATTTGATGATGGACCACAGGTTCTCAATGGGGTTCAGATCAGGTGAACAAGGAGGCCATGTCATTAGATTTTCTTCTTTTATACCCTTTCTTGCCAGCCACGCTGTGGAGTACTTGGACGCGTGTGATGGAGCATTGTCCTGCATGAAAATCATGTTTTTCTTGAAGGATGCAGACTTCTTCCTGTACCACTGCTTGAAGAAGGTGTCTTCCAGGAACTGGCAGTAGGACTGGGAGTTGAGCTTGACTCCATCCTCAACCCGAAAAGGCCCCACAAGCTCATCTTTGATGATACCAGCCCAAACCAGTACTCCACCTCCACCTTGCTGGCGTCTGAGTCGGACTGGAGCTCTCTGCCCTTTACCAATCCAGCCACGGGCCCATCCATCTGGCCCATCAAGACTCACTCTCATTTCATCAGTCCATAAAACCTTAGAAAAATCAGTCTTGAGATATTTCTTGGCCCAGTCTTGACGTTTCAGCTTGTGTGTCTTGTTCAGTGGTGGTCGTCTTTCAGCCTTTCTTACCTTGGCCATGTCTCTGAGTATTGCACACCTTGTGCTTTTGGGCACTCCAGTGATGTTGCAGCTCTGAAATATGGCCAAACTGGTGGCAAGTGGCATCGTGGCAGCTGCACGCTTGACTTTTCTCAGTTCATGGGCAGTTATTTTGCGCCTTGGTTTTTCCACACGCTTCTTGCGACCCTGTTGACTATTTTGAATGAAACGCTTGATTGTTCGATGATCACGCTTCAGAAACTTTGCAATTTTAAGAGTGCTGCATCCCTCTGCAAGATATCTCACTATTTTTGACTTTTCTGAGCCTGTCAAGTCCTTCTTTTGACCCATTTTGCCAAAGGAAAGGAAGTTGCCTAATAATTATGCACACCTGATATAGGGTGTTGATGTCATTAGACCACACCCCTTCTCATTACAGAGATGCACATCACCTAATATGCTTAATTGGTAGTAGGCTTTCGAGCCTATACAGCTTGGAGTAAGACAACATGCATAAAGAGGATGATGTGGTCAAAATACTCATTTGCCTAATAATTCTGCACTCCCTGTATAAACAAATGCCAGAAAAACCTCAATGAACTGTTACAATGTTATTTCCTCCACAACAATGTGAGAGACTGATAAAGTCATACAGAAAACGAAAAACGATTACTTCAAGTTATTGCTGCTAAAGATGGTTCTGTAAGCAACTGAATCATAAAGTGTACTTATTTTTTTTACACATGACTTCTCCATTTTGTGTTTATTTTTGTTAAATAAATCATGTCACAGTGTAATATGCCATGTTGATGTTCATCTGAGGTTGTAATTACCTAATTTTAATACCTGCTAAGGATCCGATGATTGTTATTATGTCCTGATATATAAAACTATAGAATTAAAAAATGTGGTACTTTCTTATTCCCATTACAATTTATACACATGATTAATTTCATGTATGTCGGTTCATATTCTTAACAGAAATGATAATGTTATCCTTTCGATCTTGAAACCCATCTCCACAAGTATTAACTTGCATAATATCTATTTGCGTCAAAGATAAAAAAAATATAATAATAATTACATACAGGACCATCTTTAATATTGATCGGACTCTTGGCAAGCATTTGCTTGGGCCCCCTCGACTCTGTCCATGTTTCATCAATGTGTGTGTATGATAACTGTCTTCAGTGGGTGACTGTGACAGGGTGGGTAAAGAGGTTACTGTGCAAGATGATTGTGGCAGGGCTAGAGGGGTAAATGAGATAGGGTTGGGCGTTGAGTGTGACAGCGAAGGGGGGTGATTGTGACATGGTTGGAGGAGGTAGCGAGACAGGGCAAGGGTAGGCAGGTGTGACAGGATTATGGGGGTTAATGTGACAATGTTGTATGGCATGGTTGGCATTAATGTGGCATGGCTGGAGGAGGCAGTGTCACAGGGTGAGGGGAGTTGAGCATTAAAAGATTAGGGTAGGTTTATGAGACAGGATGAGTGTGGCATTGTTAGTGGGTAGGTATCATAGAATTGGAGGGGTTAATGTGATATGGTGAGTGTGACAGTGCGAGAGAAGGTAAGTGTGACAGGATTTAGGGAGTTAATGTGATAAAGTGAGTTTGGCAGAGCAATGGGAGGTGAGCGTGGCATGGGTGAGTGTGACTGGATTAGGGACGTTAATGTGAATGGGGCAGGTTGAAGAGTGGTAACAGAGTGTGGGGGTAACAGTGTGTTTGGGTGACAGTGTGTGAGGAGGGTGCATACACTGACAAACATGCAGATACATTGACACAGATACAGATAAACTGACAAACACATAATGACATATATGCAGATACACACAATAATATATACAGATACATACACAGACATGCAGATACACAAACACAAACTAACACACATACAGATACTCAGACACACATTCAGATACACAGAATTACACTAATACAGATACAAACAATGACACAGATACAGAGGGGCACACACTGACATACATGCAGATAAACAGATACACATACACTCATGCAGATACACAGATACACATACAGACACACAGATACAACCACATACACACAGATAAATCCTAAGACACACAGACAAACAAATACACATAGACACACATATACATA